GGGAGGGAGGAAGGAAGGAAGGAAGGAAGGAAGGAAGGAAGGAAGGAAGGATGGAAGGAAGGAAGGAAGGAAGGAAGGAAGGAAAAAAAAGAAAACCCCATGGCAAAGAGATGGTTAGGTATAATTCTGAAATTCCATCGATTGAAACGCACAATGTCATATGCTACAGTGAGAAGGGGAAAAAAAGGGATCTCAACAATTATTACTAATCAGTTCTTTAAACATACAGTTACTCTTTAGAAAATTTTATTAATGTAATCAATAAATTGCATTTCTATAGAAGCAGAGCGTCCTGATTTGCCAAAAAGTTAAAAATAGGAAATTTTCATTGAGAAGAGTTCTAGGATAGTTTTATTCAGCAATTGTCTAGTATGCAGAAATCTGTCACTTTACAATGCTTGAGGCTTCAGATTAAGCCCTAAAAAAATTACTTTTGTTCCCTCTCAGGTATATGTTTAATTATCTACATTTTCACATGCACATGTCTTGCGTACTCAACTAGATTATCAGTGACATGAAAAGCAGCCACCATGAGATTTAGAAAGTCAGTTTACTTGAATCGATGACATGCTATTAATAAAAGGTAGAGAACAGGACTTAAGTAGAAGGCTTCCCGTCCTCCAGTTTGACGATTTCTGCTACACCGTGCTACCTGCTTATAACTTATTGACTCCCTCACAATTTACTTATGCACTAGTTTAATTTCTAAGAAAGTTCCAAACAAGTATTGAGCAGAGGGGATCCTATCTAAGGGGCCATTTACAAGTTCTAGGCAGAGACCAGCAGGTGAGTAGCATGCTTGGATCTGCTGGAGGAACACATGCAACAAGAAGCCTCTGGAAAGCAAACCAGGAATTGCAACAAAGTGTCCTCCTCCCCAACATATGCCAAAGGAGTGTGGTTCTTCCAGGAAGCAAAGAGGTTAATATCTGAATTGCAGCACATATAATTCTTCTTTTGTACTGGGTTGCTATTAAAACCAGTAAGATATCTTGTGTAAGCCAGCCAAACCTTACACAAACTGGCAGTGTGACAGTAAGGGCTTAACAGCTCCTAGGCTTTCAGTTCAGGCTGGATGAGGAGGGCTAAAGAGAGGGAAGATACATCACTAAGCACCCCCCACAGGGTAGATTCAGTGCGAGGGGCATCACCCATGAAGGCATCTATTAAGTTTCAATGCCCCGAGGAGGTGAATATTTACAACTTCATTTTGCAGATGCAGAAGCTGAGACACAAGGAGATTAAGTAACCTGCCCAAAGTCACAAATCTGTCAGTGACAAAGCCAGGCTTCAAATGGGGCCCTGCGTGCCTCTCTGGATGAAAAGTCTCCTATATGTTTCAAGTGGCTAGACAGGAGATAACAAATCTCTTTGAATGTTCTGTATGGAATCATTGGCCTGGAAGAGTTAAATGATAGGATCACGGTGACCTGCTGATGGATTGCTGACTGACCCTGCGAAGTACTGCCTGACTCAACTTTCCTCATGCTGGCTTAGTTTAGAAAGCTCCAGACTCCTGAGGATCAGAAAGTCCTCCCATCATAACGTGATAATGCAGTTCAGTCCATGTGCTCCCGGGGTCGGAGAGCCAGGTAAAGAACCCCATGTGCCACTTAGGAAGGACTTCAATACCTTTTCACTGCAATGGCCAGGTTTTCCATTTCCGTGCTTTGAAGTTTGATCTCACGGATGAAGTTCTTTATAACATGTTCATATGGCTGAATCAGTCTTGGCTCCACAAGGTTGATGTTTTGATATAAGGTACTAACTTGCTCTTTCCTGAAAAAAAAAAGAAATTAACTAATTAAACCAAGTGAAAAATAAAAAGGCAAATTTTCAGAATACTTTTAGGAAACAGACACATAAAAACCAAGAAAAAAAAAGCAGCAATAACAGAATGACCTTCATGAAGAGGAAGAGGTGGTGTTGCATTCTTCTCCACATTTTCTACAACAGAATAGCAATTTTGTCCAGCTTTATTGAGGTAAGACTGACAAATTAAAATTATATACATTTCGGTTGTACAATGTGAATTTTTTAAAGTGTACAATGTGATGAAGATGTAGGACTGTAAGGGCAAGTGAAATGAAAATGAAGAGATTAATAGGGAAGGATTTTTTTAAATTGTCACTACTGGGTTTTTTCTTTAAAAGCAAGGTAAATAGATTTATAGGAAAAAAGGTAACATTAAACCAATTACTAAATTCTATGTCCCACCAATCCCTAATAAGAGTATAATTCAGACTTTATGATCATAATAGTAAGTATACATATTATTTTATAATTAAAAATTACTTCTTATAATTCATATTTATATACGTATTTATATGCAACAATCCTCATACTCATTACTCAATGACTTTTATTAAAAGACAAATATTTCACAGTCATTTCAAAAGAAACCTTGATACAACTAGACAGTTGGCTAGCAGTGCCCTTGACTCGGGTTAGGAGCTGATGCAGTAAATAGATCTGGTTTGAACTGTGAATAACATGCCTGTACAACTCAACTCCCATCAATGTGTGCTATCACGGTGTGGGATGTAACAACTGGATGAGCCTCCTACCACATTCAAAGCTTCTTTTGACCGACAGGCATATTGTCCTCCTTGGACAGATTGCTCTGTCAGGGCCCACGCAATCCGGCCTTCCTTCTTCTACCCTAGTGGGGACCTATGCTCGCTAATGGTTTACACAAGCTGTGACTGTGTTGGGACAGTAGCCGCACTTTTTTAAAACAAGAAACATTTACGTCAATTGAAAGAAGAAATGCCAGGAACTTAGATAAGAGGTACTTATTTAATGATAAGTTACCTATAATATCAGCATTATAGAATTCCACCAACTCTCATCAAGTCTAGAACTGTTTAGGGTAGCCAACAATCACAGGAATACTAACAGCTTTGACATACTGCATTATTTAAAAACCATCTCCAGTGCTTGGATAATTCTTATATTCAGTGATCTATTTCTATGATTTCATAGTTACTCCCCTAACAATGCAAAAAGTCTTTCTGATTTCTGCCCCTGACATAGAGAGATTGCTCTTCTCCAGATGCTTATCTAGATCTGGTAAAACTTTTGGTCAGGCCATTACAGGAACCAGAACATCTGAGAGCATTTCACAACCATCTATGGTGCCTAATGACCCCACAGTGACAGCCAAAGAAGACTGCTCAGAAATCCTTAGCACAAAATCCATATCCATCCACTTGATCACAAGCCCTGGGCTTCTGCCCTGTTACTCTGCTGAAGGCAGCCTATTCCAATGCTATGAGAGCACAAGAAAGACTACACTAATCTAAGGCCTCAATAATTAAAAGGCCATGCAGAAAACCATCTCCCAATTTGGACAGATGTCCTAGCTAGATATAATAAGATTTACAATTATAATTAAAAGTTCTATGTAATGAATTATCACTATGTACCAGGTATTATGGTAAGCAATTTCTTTGCATAATATCTTTGAATATTAATAATGGCCCTATAAAGTACTTTTACAAACCCATTTTGCAGATCAGGCAGAGCCAAGTGCCTGTTACAGGCTGAATCATATCCCCTCAAAATTCATATGTTGAAGTCCTAACCCCAGTACTTAGGAATGTGTCTGTATTTGGAAAGGTTGTTAGGAATGGCCCTAACCGAATATGACAAGTGTCTTTATAAGAAGAAATTTAGACACAGACATACACAGAGGAAAAAAGCATGTGAAGACACAGGAAGATGGCCACCTGCAAGCCAAAAAAGAGAGGCCTCAGAAGAAACCAACCCAATCAACGCCTTGACTTCAGTCTTTGAGCCTCTAGAATTGTGAGAAAATAAATTTCTGTTGTTTAAGCCAGTCATCCCCAAACCCCAAGCTGCGGACTGGTACTGCTCCATAGTGGCCTATTAGGAACCAGATCACACAGCAGAGGTGAGTGGCAAGCAAGCGAGTGAGGTTTCATCTGTATTTGTAGCTGCTCCCCAGCGCTACCATCACTACCTCAGCTCCATCTCAGATCATCAGGCATAAGATTCTCATAAGAACACCAGTCCCTGGCGCCAAAAAAGTTGGGGACCGCTGGAAGCCACTCAGTCTGGTATTTGTTACCAGAAATAACTGGGCAACCATAGCAAACAATGAAAGTGCCCAAGATCACACAGTGACTGGTGGCAGAGTTGGGATCCAAACTCAGTTTGATGCTGGAGAACACATGATCAACCATTACATTACATTGCTTCCCAATTGTGTTATATATCTGAACCTTGGCAGAAGAAATGGGATTCAAAATCAATCCATATAACTATGGAGAACTGCAAAATGTGAGGTATATATTAACGCGGAAACAGTTAAGCATGGCCCCAAGGCGTGTCTGCATAGCTATAAACTTTCCCAGGTTTGCTCTCATAAACTGTTGAATCTGTGCAGAGGCCAACTGTGATTCAAAAGAGCTGCTCAAGTGGAATATTATTAATAAAGCTACAGGAGTAAGTCACTTTATTTGACAATATAAGACACAGAAAGCTGCCATCATTTCTCCCATCAGAGCTGAGTACAAATACTAGTTGCAACAGTGAGCCATATTTATTAAAAAACAGTAAAAAAAAATCTCTGCTCTTAGACTGTCTCATGTAACTTCAATCACTACAGGATCATTAATTTCTTTGCCTTTTGCCTTTTACTGACCACCAGCAGAATATAAAGCATAAAAACTTTCTCGTTAACAGGAACCAGCTTGTCATGGATGATCATTAAGATACTGTCCTTGAGAGTCTCTGTTTTGTTGCCAATTGTGCAGCAGTAAAATGTTAAGAAGTAGACGTCTCAGTAGAGTCCCTGACTTCCTGCAAATTTCTAAAATAAAGAAACATAATGATTATAAATTCTCTCGAGTCCTTCGCTGGTCCTGGCATTATACAGAATTTCAGAAATAGTTTACAATGAAGTATACAAATAAATTAATTATAGAAAATGTCTACTACTAGCAGAAAATAAATATATGGTTAACTATTGTGCCAGAGACTACCTGGATAGTCATCCATCCTGCTTCTTATTACAGGGCACACAGGGAGAACCACTAGCAGGTAGCCTGGAGCCATGTGACCAGTTCTGGCCAGTGGAATGGGAGCAGAAAGAGTATATTTGCCACTTTCATGCTTGGCCCTTAAAATCCTTTGTAAGATTCTCACTCAGCTCATATTCATTCTCATTCATTCATTTCCCCTCTCTCTCCCTCTTTCCTTCTCTTTCCCCACTCCTTTTCCTCATCTCTCTCTCCCGTCTCCTCCTCTGCCTCCCTTTCTCTCTTCCTAATCCTCATAGCTAAAGTGAAGAACTCCAATATGGCAAAGCCAAGGGATGGCATGTGCCTGAATGCTTGAATTGCCACATTGAGGGAAACCAATCAGGAGCGCTGCTTGACATATGAGAAAAAAGTTTGTACTTTATAAAGCCACCAGGACTTGGAAGTTCTATTATAGTTAGCTTGAGCTTAGAAAGTTGGCATTATGATTTCCTAATTTGTTTTTATCATCCTCTTCCAGAATAAGCTACTTCCTTGATAGCTTCATATGAACTAAGTAATAAAACTTCTCTGACCAGGTTAAGTCTTTCCCACCACCACCTACTCTCTTTCAAGGAAACAAAAGAATACTCTGAAACATTCATATACTGAAACAGACATTTATTAAGCACCTTACACACACACAGTCTCGGCAGTGATTTTAGCATTGACGTCTATTATTTACTTAATCTTCATCATAACCCTATAAAGAAGTTATCACTAGCATCCTATTTACTATGGAGAAAACTGTGGCAGAGAGAGGTCTAAGTATCATCAGGTAGCAAGAAGCAGGCTTTCAACTCAGCCCATTCAGCTCCAGAGGCCAGCTCTCCAGGAAGGTACTACAGTGCTCTTCAGGCCAAAAGAAAGTGTTGAACAGGTTTTCAGGGGTTCCACGTGCATGGCTCCATTTAAGAAAATTTGACGTACCAAGATTTTTTAAATTACTTTGGAAAATGGTACATAGTATTGCTACAAAAACTGTGAACAATACAAAGAGACACCTTTAAAGAATGAAAGCACAAGTAAGATTAAAATGAGAAAAATCTTATAAAACTTTAGTTTACCTAAAGCTATTTGAGGAAAGCACTATTGTACACACTCTTGCCCCCACCCCTCTCCATCTGTCTGTGCTTCATTTGGTCTGTATCTATGAAACTAGAGAACCACCTGGATTATGCCAACAGACTGCAACCTGAGACACTTGGTAATTTTCACATCTGATGGAAAAAAAGAAAAAGAAGACATGCTACCATGACCGAGTGCCAAGATAATCTTTTGTTCTGCCCAAGAATGAAATAGTCACCAGTTTCCCTGTGTCTTAGCTCCTGACGTCGAAGGTTAAACAAGCAGAGATGACACAACGCTGTACATATAGCTAGCTCTGTTTTATTCTGGGCCTGAGCCAATGTGGTACACGTTGAGTGCTGAGATGAGTACGTGGCAGTAATAAGGCTCGAATCAGTTTTAATTTAAGTTCAGTGCCTCATCTAAGGCAATTACAGTTGGATTCACAAATACCATGTAGACCTGTTTACAGGTGTACTTGGCAAATGCCAGGTAAAGATTAAGGTCAAGTCATATATGTTAGTCAGCCAAGATAAAGACAAACAAACAAAACAGTCTCTACTTCTGGCAGGGAGAGCCACTAATTTATGTCAAAAGAAGAGGAATCAAATGAAACACAATCAGAGAAAAATGTACCCTGAATTACCAACTTTAGGTGTTCAAAAT